ACCAGGGGGATTGTTCTCCTTCACAAAGACTGTGTAGGAGGGCTGTGTGAAAGCTGGAACATTATCATTTATGTCACTAATGGACACTAAGACGGTAAGACTGGAAGACAATGGTGGAACACCTTGATCTTCCACTATCACAACCATCCTGTATTCAGCCACCTTTTCTCGATCTAGGACTGCACCAACAATTAGGGAGTAGTAGTTCTTGAATGTCGACTCAAGTTTGAAGGGTATTCCAGTGGGCCAGAGGAAACAGTTTATTTCTCCATTGTTGCCAGAATCCCTGTCAGAAGCACTGATGATGGCTACCACAGTCCCTGGAGGGGAATCCTCTGGCAATGGCACAGAGAGAGAATTCACATATAATTCTGGGATGTTGTCATTTATGTCCAAAACCTCAATGAAAACTTTACAATGTGTTGATAATGGAGAACTGCCTTTATCTTTTGCTACAATTGGAAGTTCATAGAACTTACTTTCTTCGTAATCCAATTTTCCAATTACTCTGATTTCCCCAGTATCAGAATTTATACTAAAGAGCTTGGTGACATGTAGAGTGACACTATCATGAAAAAAATAACATATTTCCCTATTAATCCCTTCATCTAAGTCTGTTGCATTCAGAGAAATAACTAATGACCCGCTAGCTGTATTTTCTAGCAACTTTACCCTATAAACAGATTGGTTAAACACAGGAGGGTTGTCATTCACATCCAGCACATTGATGACTAGCTGAACAGTTCCTGTGAGTTTTGGTTCACCCCCATCAGTGGCTGTCAATACTAAATGATGCACAGGCCTCTCCTCTCTGTCAAGTGGAACCTTCAATAGAAGTACTACAGATTTACTCGCATCTTCATCACTTCCTGAATCAAGATCAAAATGGTTGTTTGTACTGAGCTTGTAAGTTAACAAAGCATTACTACCAATATCTGCATCAGATGCTCCTTCTAATAGGAACTGGGTGCCAGATGTTATAAGTTCTGAAATGCTCAAAATCTGTTCCCTGGCAGAGAAGATGGGAGCATTGTCATTAACGTCTTTGATTTCAACCTCTACATGGAAGAACCTCAGAGGTTTCTCCACAATCACTTCCACATGAACAATACAGTCTGTATTCTTGGCACACAGCTCCTCCCTGTCTATCCGGGTATTTACAAACAAGATCCCATTCTGCAGGTTTACCTCAAAATAGTCCT